CAAAGCGGAGGAACGCGGTTCACGGACCACCGTTCGTAAAACTCCCGGGCGGTCTCCCTATCCGCGCGCGGGGGGCTTGATAGCCCAAGCCTGGCGAGCCCATAAGTGCGGTACAGATCTTCCCATTGGACGTGGGTGTGATGGAGGACAGCATGGAGCTCCAATGCAGCGACAATGCCCCACCAATGATGGGAGGGGGAGGCGATGATCAATGGGCCCGTGGGCCGTGTACTGCCTGCCATGAGCCGTTGGTGGGCGTCTTCCCCCGACATGGTAAAGCGCCCGGCCCTGTCGACAATACAGATGTCGACCGCCCCGGTGGTGCCAGCACACACTGTGGTGGTGAAGAGGTCAACGAAGGCGCCGAGTTCGTTGTGATGGTCATAAAAGAAGGTGAAGAGGGATGCCGCCTGCTCCTCGGTGGCCAGTTGTCCCGGAGGAGGGAGCTCTGGCAACCATTCCGAAATGAACTCCGCAAAGGAGGTGCCCTCAGCCACGACCCTGTGCGCGTCACCTGTGTCGGCGTTGGCGGGGCGCGCATTGCTGAGGCCAAGACCATGCTTGAGAGAGTCAAAAACCCTAGTGGTTGGTGTGACGACCGTGATTTTCCGTCCGGCCTGGACAGCAAAACGATGTCCGCAGACATTGTAGGCGAGGACCAGAAGGACACAGAGCAATTCCACGAGGCCTCCCTGGTGCATGGCCGAGGATGTCTGCTTCGGTAGTCGGATAAAGTACACTCCCGGCTGATGGGAGCCATCCGCCGCGACTCGCTGAAGTCGCCGTGCAGCGGTATCCGCTGCCAGTTCGCCGATGGTAACCGGGCACGGAGAGGCGTCAGAGGCCTTGTGCATGACAATGGATTGTGGGTACCTGACGGCAGTAATAAGCAGATAAAGATCGGCCAGCAGCCTGGTGGAGGCAACCAGGGCCAAGTTCAAGCAAACCCCATTAATATAGGGGCCAGGCCTTCAGCTTGCAGAGCTGTATTGGCCGGCGCAAGTATTGCGCCGACGGCTGACAGGCGGTTGAGGTAGCACAGCATCGCCTCACTATGGGACGCCGACTGGTGGAGAAAATCCACCGCAATAGCCGCTGGCGTGAGTCGGCCGGGGTGTGGGCACACTCGATCACCGATTTGGGTGATGCCAGAATAAGGGATGAAGTATTTCATCCCTTGTCGGGTGACCCGACACCCACGGAGCTCTTGCAGATCCAAGTCAAGACTGACCTCAACTTTGTCCTCAATTCCAAAGAGGCATTCCGACAACTCCCGGCATACGGTGAGACTGGTGCCCGGCGGCGTCTCAGCGCCCTGATGGCCATTGTGGCGATGTCCAAGGCTAGTCCACCTGACTGTGTGAAGTGGTCCCTGTGGGGTAGACTGCACCAAGCCTCGCAGTGCCGCGGCGAGTCGCCCCGGAGACACTGGCTGCGGGGCCAGCTGGGCGACTCCACGGATGCCAACGGGCTTGGCAATGAGTCGAGCCAGAGTGCGCAGTTGAACCTCACCTTTGCCACCGCCAGCAGGTTGTCGTGGGTCGCCCGTGCGGATGACAAGCTGGCCAGCTGCATTAGCAAGGATGGCAGCCGAAGCAGGCTGTCCCTGCTGTTGCCCCTCATCAATCACGATGACATGCGCGTTGTTGAGGAAAGTCTTAACCTCACTGTAGGAGGCATAGCGCAGCTGCAGCGCGGCCGACCCCTGCGTGAGCAGCAGCATGTGAGCACTACTGACTGAAGGGGAGGCAAGACGTGCACTGCGCCCCGTTGCTCCTGGCTGAGCCGTGGCAATGTCCCCAAGCCCTGCCGCCTGGTGCTCAGCAGCCTCAGTGAAGGGCACATGGTCAAAGGACGGGTCGATCATTTCAGCATCGCCAGAGACCCTCCGCACAACAACGAGCGGGCGCAGCCAGTCTGGGGCATCGGCTAAGAGGTTGGAGTTGGAGGCGATACGCACGACCGCGATGAGCGCTGAATGCTGCTGTGCTGTCCAAAACACAGTTATTTGCTCCAACACAGCGTCCAGACAGACCAAGGCGCACCACAGGGAGAAAGTTTTGGAAGATCCCGCGCATCCCAAGATGCTAAGCGAGCTGCGTCCTTGTGCCCGGGCGGCCAGGATGGCCGAGATGTGCCCACACAGGAGTCCATCCGGTTCTACTACTTTAGTTGTGCTGGCTAGGCGTGTATCCCGAAGGGATTAAACTCGACTAAGCGGAAGCTTTTTCATGGAGTGCCGTATGCCCACAAGGTCCGGGCAGCAAGTCAAGCAAGCACTACGAGGTTGATGGGTGGTTCAACCGCACCATCAACGAGAACGTAAAGCGATGCATATGCGTAGCAAGCAAGCGAACAAGAGCAAGCAAAGAAGTACCAACGCCACGACTAGGAAAGCATTTGTTCAACTTTACCTAACCCAAGACACGCTACGAGCTACAGAGCAAAGCTAGCAGAGAGACCTTTTGACTTTGCCGGAAACGCGAGAAGTAAGTTGAAGCTGCAAGCCAAAGCTAAGCAAAGTAAAGCTACAACAAGCTTCGAGAGTTTAGACCCCCCTCGCCCATAGTAAAGCAACAAAAGTACGAAAGTATAAAAAGCTAGGATAACAGCTAAGATACAACATCACAAAGGGTAGGGCGGGTGGGTCAAAATTTTAAAGCATGGAGCGAAGCTTTAAGCTATGCTGAAGCACGCTTGTCTTGGGCCGAAATGTTGTGTTTGGAACATGGTAAAGTAAAACACCCATGAGTAAACACATGAAACGTTCAACTTTACCTAACCCATGACACGCTACGAGCTACAGAGCAAAGCTAGCAGAGAGACCTTTTGACTTTGCCGGAAACGCGAGAAGTAAGTTGAAGCTGCAAGCCAAAGCTAAGCAAAGTAAAGCTACAACAAGCTTCGAGAGTTTAGACCCACAGTTTAACCGGCAAAGTCAAAGTCTCGCCCTATGGTTCCCCAGCGTTCAAAGTGAGGGTTTGACGCGCTCGCTCAGTGAAACGCTGCACCCCGGGCAAACATCCTGCGGGCGTAAAGCAGCAGCATACAGGCCCCGGGCAAAGATCCTGCGGGCACTGTCATATGTCATCATCTGACACATGTCGTTCCTGTGTCACCGCTGGTAAAGAAAAGTGGGAGGGCCACACCAGGACCTCCTTGCGAAAGAACCAGATGAACTTGAGAGAGCAATCCACCCGGTCTTCTTTGCGCCATTTGTCAGGTAAAGAATTTGATTCCACCTGCTCAACATATCTGCATCATCGTTTTTCTCACCAGCGATGTGAGAAATATCCAGCTCGATACCCGAGGCTGCGGATATGAGGGAAAGTTTCTGGGCAAACGCTCCCAGTGGCCACTTGGCGGTGTAAAGTTTCGCACCCAATGCCTCTGTCGAGGCGTTGTCAGAAAAGGAGGGGAGGCGAACTGCCACTCGACCCGAAGGAAATACTGACCTGTAAGCATGTACCAAAGCAATCTGCTCCAAAGTCTCATAACAGGCAATATCTTTGTGCGCGGGTCGGCGAAGTTCCAAACCCAAAACTGACAGATCGGAAAGCTGCCAAGCCTGAGAAAACCAAATGTAAGCACCAGACGGGAAAGCAATAAAACCGCCAATCCCAATAAGCTCGCCATCAGCTCTTGCGTCCGCAAAGGCCTCAACCTGGAGTCGCAAAGGAACAGAAAGAGCAGTATAAGGCTGAGGTCTTTGACACCATTCTCTCCAGAATGAAAGAAAGGTCCGCGATGCTGGTGACAAAGAACGCCGATCAGATTTGGGATTAGTCACCCGCATCCAGATCCGATTGGAAGTACGGACCTTGCAAAGGTCTTGCTTTGTTTTCAATTCTGTATGTCGTGCTTCCAGTAGTTTGCCTCCCAGTGGAACTTGAGTACCCGGAGGTACGGATGTAAAGCGAAGATCATCATCAAGGTAGTTAGCCAAAGAAGGCCAGAGCCCCTGTGATATGCTATACTGGGAAGCCAAATGCCGATGCAGATCTGAGAAAAGGGACGCCAGCCTAGGGCTTGCATGTTCTGTAAAGCTGACAGAACCATTGTAGGAGTCCCACCAACTTGTGGAGCAAAGCACTCGTAACCCTTCTGGACCGTGTAGCTTCCTTGATCAAGTTGAAAAGCTTATCAACTTTTTCTCGCGGAATATGAAAAGAGCCGCTGGTAAAGTTGAATGTCCAGCCAATCCAGGTAATGCAACTTCCCAATTGCAACTTGGCCCAGCTCAAAGGCACTCCGAATATAGATGTAAAGCAAAGTAAGAGTGACGCGGAATAAAGGATGCACTCACGGTCCTGGACGAAAAGAAAATCGTCGACGTAACCCATAAGAGCATGGCGCACAAAGATCCAGAGACGCATGAGGCGTAAAAGCATGCCCGCCAGCCGCTGAAACCACAAAGCAGAAAAGTTTGCTCCGAATGGACAAACTCGGTAAAAGAAAAGTTTGTCATCTTTACCCTCTTCTCCCGGTAAAGTGACACCAAGCAGTCCCTGGTCTGCCTCTTTGACCCTAACCGTTTTATGCGCCGCCTTGACGTCGAGATGGAAGCCTTCACACAGGCCTGCATGAAGGCGTAAAGGAAAGCAATCTCGAACATCTTGTAGACCTGGCAAAGTGTAGCGCTCAGGAATAGAGCATGCATCGTTGGTGCCACACACGGTGGAGTCAACCACCAGCCTGGGAGCTCTCGTGGGAGAAAGTACAAGGGACATTTTCCCTACTGCAACGCGCTCTCCCCAACGCTCCTGTGCCGCCTGTAAAGAAGGCATCTCAAACAGCCATCCTTTCTGGACCTCAGCATGCACCAGCTCCCGCAAAGTATCCGGATCATTATTGGCACTTTGCCAGTTGTCCTTGGCAATGGAAAGCTGGTGATCAAGTTCCGGTGCCGACGGATGTGGTATGAAAACCTTGGAAAGCGGGATGTCACTGTCATATCCTGTGGGAACCCCATCAAGCAGGCACTGGCAAAGTGTATCATCCTTGTCCTTGACAAACTGCGAGAAGAACTTCAAAGCATGCAAAGCATAAGGTTGATGATCCGGAATCGTCCAGTCAACAACATGTGACGATCCTTGCTCTGAGACCCAGGACTGGAAAAGCTGTCTGAGATGCTGAATCTCGCCTTCCTGAAAGAGTGGCTCCGAGCTGTGCTGCAAAGCATGGGCCTGTAGACTCTGTAGACGTTGTGGGATCTTTTCATCAAAGATCCACTGTCGAAGTTTGGACCTGAGATCACAAAGTACATCCTGAACCCCAGGCGGAGGCGTACTCCAATCAGGCACTGAGTAAATCCCAGCACCATCCTGGTTGGCAAAGGGTGGCTCGAATCTCTCTTTGACGTGCCTCAGAAAAGGAATGTGGCCAAACTGCAAATCTTTGGGTTCCGGGCTTCGCTGAGCGAAAAGATGCAAAGAACCCTCGGCCACCGCGAGCACAAAGTCCGCACTCAATGAAGAAAAGTCGAACTCCCGATGGGCCTGCATTGACGACCCCGTCGAGGATGTAGTGGCTAAAAACTGCAAAGCTGAAAAGGATGCAGCCAGGAGCCCAAAGCCTTCAAAGTTGCAACCAAAGCGTTGTGGGTCCCAGAAAATAGCGTCTGCACCCATCTGCTGTAAAAGAAAAATCACCGACGCTTGGCTCCATACTGCAGAGTGAGAGTGCTGAGAAAGCAGTACATGAGAACCCGCCGCAAAGCACGCGTGTGCTATCTGAATCATGCGCTCGAAAAGACTCGATGAGAAATCACTGGCGCAAAGCAAGATGTGTAAAAGGGCAACCTGCCCAGAGTGACAAACCCTGAGCAAGGCAAAGAAGAACTCGTCTTGTAGAAGATCACGTTCAGGGAAAATTTCAGGAGCGACCGAAAAGGTATCACAGCCAGCTCCAAGAAATGCTGCCGACAGAGGGCGCCGGGCCCCCCCATTGATGTCCAGGAAAAAGCCTGAGTCGAGTTCCGAGACAGAGCATGCAAAGTTCTGAGGAGTACTCTGTACCACGGGCTCCGGAGGGGTAGCACATGGTTGTGGAAAAGGAGCATCTCCTGTAGCATCTGCAGGCAAAGCTACTGGAACCAGGCCTTCATCGCCTGCATAGTCCAGGCCCGGTCCCCCTCATGCACCTGCCTTTTGTGCATGCTGAAAAGCCGGATGCTTCTGCAGGCAAATCTTACCATTCTCCAGGATCACGGGGCAAAGGTGCTCAAACTTGCAATTGTTGGAAGTGCAGCCTTTGTGGGTACTGTATGCCATGCAAAGCACCTTGGTCTCTCCATTGATCTTCGCCTTGTTTGCCCACTCAAAGGCATGAGTACCTTTGGTAAAGGTGGACTTCCCCTTTCCCGGAGTTGTGCCACCTTTGCCCCCCGTTGACTTACCCCCCTTGGGAGTATGTCCCTTCCAGGGCTCCTTTCCACCCTTGCCATCCCCTTTCTTGCCGCCTTTGAAAGGAGCCAGCCGTGGAGCAAGCAAAGCAACCAACTCTGCACGAACATCTGTGAACTCATGCAAAGCATCATCCACCGACCAGCCTTCTTGCCTGAGCTGGCCAACAACTAACCAACATCGGCGATCTGCGGCTTCGCACTCCTGTGCGTTAGGTGGGCGCAAAGTTGGGTCTGTTCTCGCCTGGACATGTTTCAAGAACTTACGCTCATAGGAACGTAAAGTAGCAAGATGAGCAATGTCCGCAAGCGCGAGGGCGTTGGAATGTATGGAAAGTAAATTGCTTATCACATACAATCCCATATTCTCCGCAACGTTACGCGAGGGCACGTCGTCGTAAAGGACGTCGGTAAAGTTCTCAAATCTTGCCAACTTTCTGGGCCGAGCCGAGTTGTAGTCTTCTTCTTGCTGTTTGGAAAGTCTGTGTTTCCAGGAGATGAACTTCCAGTCCGTCGTGCCTTTTAGTCTGTAAGCAAGGGAAAGTAGGCGTGCACTCGGAAAGTTGGTGTCGTCGAGAACTTCGGAGGGGTAGGCTTTCTCGAAATCGCGCTTCAACTGTAAAGTTGTTTCTGTTGAAAGTTTGGGAGGAAAGGTCTCTGCCCAAGATGAGTGCAAAGTACTCGCCGAGGTATCTGAGCCCACCGACGGCAAAGTACAGATCTTGTGGGCCTGCACCCACAGCATCCTGAGGACAGGGAGCTCATCAGCATCAGGTGACCAGCCTTTGGATGCCAGTAAAGCATCGAGACCTTCCAGGTTCACAGTGCCAAGGCCAAACGAAAGCAGTGTGGAGTCTCCGAGAGATGCAGCTGACAACGGAATGGAAAGCTGCAAAGCTGTGGCCAACTGCTGCACCGTAGATCTCGAGGACAAAGAATCCATGACCTGACAATCGCACGAGTGGCAGAAGTTATGCATGATCATGTCGCAGAAGTGCATCAAAGCAAGCCGAATCTTTTCTTGCGAAGCAAAGTAGGTCGATGACGCGTGCTGCTGGGTCCCAGACGCAAGTAAAAGAGGCCGGAGGCCCTTGCAATATATAAGCAAAGCATACATATAAAAGCATACGCTAGAGTAAAGTAGAAGCTGTGGGAACCCAGCATTGACGCAATTAAGGACTTTACCACCAGAAAAAGCACCATGGAGGACGCGTCTGGCAGTAAAGTATGATGCTACTGCCCATACGCATTGCAAAAAGCATTGCGCCCCTGGCGTCTACGGTATTCTCCATAACAGAGTCTGCAACGATGGACGTGAGGATGACAAGGGTCTAGCAAAGTAGCACCGCATGTTCCTGCTCCTGAGCAGTTGGTGCAGCCTTCGCGGCACCAAAATACCGTTGCCCGTTGAATCAACTGGGTCTCGCCCCACGCCGTTCGGAACACCCGCTGGTTGGGCGGTAAAGGTCGGGTTCCAGCGCCGTCCGTTGGTTCTGAGCTTTGCGGCAAAGAACTACCGTCCTGTCCTGGGGTAGTCCCCGAGGTAGCCGACGATCGTAAAGGAGGGGACGACCCGGTAGAGGTCACCGAAGGCAAAGGATCCGACTGGGGATCCGCGGTGGAGCCAGCTGCACCATCTGGAGTCGGGTGCAAAGTATCCGAACTCCCCTGCGATGCCCGCAAAGAAAGCCAAAACTCCAGCCACTGCTGTCTATCGTACCCCATCCAATCTTCAAAGAATGCCGTAGCCTGCCACAACTCTGACTCCGTAAGCTGCGAAAAGTTCCACGGCACATAGTTGAAATCCTCCGCCTCCTCCATGGTAGGTGTAGGCAAAGAAGAGGGCGGCTCATCAGTGGAAGGCACCTCGGCTGCCGGCGGTGTGGCGGGTGGATCCGCATCCACAGTGCACGGCAAAGTTTCGCCCGGACCGTCAGAAGTCGTATGCAAAGTAGTCGAATCCGGGCGTGGGTCCCAGCGCTCCAGGTACTGTGTAACTTCACTGGGGACCCAGGGCTCCGAGGGGCCCCAGTTTCTTCATCCCAGGAAGGCGCCGGTGTAGGAACCCAGTCCTCTGTTCCCCATTCGTGGTAAGGAACTTCTGAAGCTGGCAAAGTAGACGAGGGAACCTCTGTTGCTGTATGCAAAGTAGAGGCATCCTCTGTCGTAGCCCCATTCAAGTTCATCCGAGGGCGCTGGCTCCGCCGTGGTAGGAGAAGGCAAAGTAGACCCACACTCCTGGGTCGGAGCCTCCACTCGATCTGGCAAAGCTGACCGCCAGAAGCTGAACCACTCCTCACGGGAGTAGCCTTCTCGCCCTGCAAAATGCTCCGAGGCGTCCCAGAGATCCCAAGCCGAGAGCTCCGAAAAGTTCTCCGGGAAGTAGTCGCTCTGTGCCATGACGCAAAGAAAAGCGGAGGGTTGCGAAGGGACGCGCGCAAAGTCTCGGGCAAAGCTCTGCGCGGCCACATGAAGCTTCTTCGCATGAGAGCAAAGTTCTGCCTTCAACCGTATACTGCACAAGTCAGACATGCGCAAGACATGAAGCAAAGCTAAACGCAGAAGCATGTACTTCTCGACCATGACGAACGCGAAAAGCACAGTAAAGCTTGGCCCGTAGCGTAGGGAATTTGAAGCGAATTTGAAAGAATTTGAATGGAATTTGAAGCGAATTTGAGTGGAATTTGAAGCGTATAATATGCTCCGAATTTGAATGGAATTTGACGCATCTTACTGAACGTAAGAAATAATGCAAAGCTGACGCCGGCGCACATTAGAGTGCCGCTGGTGCGCACGCGAAGGCGCACATTAAGACGCAAAGGTGACGCAATCGACGCATGCGGCGTCCGATTAGGCGCACATTAGGACGCAAAAGCCACGCAAATGATGACGTTGGCGCACACTAGGGCGCAAAGTGGACGCAAAGATGACGCAAGCGACGCATTCAGCGCACATTAGGCGCATATCATGACGCGAGCCCGACGCAATAGCAATTTGACGCAAATTAGGGCGCTATAGCACGCAGGGCTCGATCGTAAAGCTATTGGCGTAAAGTAGTCACGACCGACTGAGAAAGCGAGTAACACGACTGTCGTGCAAACCTGCACTCAACAGCGCCCTGCAGCAAAGCTGAGCATTCACGAAAGCTGTGCATCGAGCCTTGTGTACGCAAAGCAGTCGGGCTGCCCCCGAACGTAGTGGCTAAAAAGCTGGAAGCGAGCCGAGGCTGTGACAGGCGAGGCTGGCAGAGCGCAGAAAAGGAGAAAGCACATGCACTGCACTCACATGCACTCCCTGCCGGCACCTGACCACAATTTTTCCAGCAACAGCTCAAAGCTCCAAGCATGCCTTGTGTCTGCAAAGCTTCTTACCTGTAGGTGCAAAATGCACAACTTGAAAGACACTGACTATACACCCGCAGGCAGGCTTCAGATGCACTCCTTGGAAAGTAGTGCAACGGTCGAGCTCCGAGCAAACCACCGCCTTGTGAATAGTCTTGGCAGTGATGATGAAAAGAAGCTCATCTGGAGTACCTGACTCACCTGACGAGTGCAAAGGAAGCGTGGTTGCCTTCTCTGGGGCCACAACATCACCAGGGTCCGATGCCGAAGGAAAAGTAGCACCTGCCAGATCTGCTTCCACTTCGATGACAGGGCAAAGCTGAGTGTTCTGCTCAAAAGCCGGTGGGCCCCCTGGGATCGCAAAGCAGGGATCCGCAAAGCTGACAGACCGAGATTCCAGTGCCGGTTCCTGTAAAGGAACTTGCCCTCCACGATGCTGAAGACACAAAGGTCGCCAACCTTGTCGAATGGAAAGCAAAAGCTCTTTCTGTAAAGTTAACGCACCGAAAACATCATCTCTGCTGTAGAGGCGTGCGCTGCTATGCCTGTGGTGACCTTGCACAGCGTGCCGATCTTCGTTGATGCAAAGTTGATTTGCCCAAAATAACAGCGTGGTTTTGCAGCTATGCAAAGTATAATTTTGCACCTGAGCACCTGAAAGCTTGTTCCAACGCGATAAAAGGTGACGTAAAGTAGCAAGGCCCTCCCCATATGTCATGGGGACGAACAACTCGTCGTCGCTCGCATGGAAAAGCAAAGCATCTGGCTCCACAGGGCCCGCCAACTTACCAATACGACACCATTCATTTTTCAGTAAAGCAAGCCATAGCTGGAACCATGGACCGAGAAGGCCCACTCCGACCACCCCAAAGGGGGCACCACGCACTGAGGTCTTGGTCCGGAAAGAAACTCCACGGCCCACCTCTTGTTCGTAAAGCAAAGATCCCCACTTCACATGCATGGCATCGCTGAACCGCAGAGAGCCCCAAATCATAACCAGGAGCGCCCCGATGTTCAATTGCAAATCAGGAAAAGCATTTGAAAGCAGGCAAAACTCCAGGTAAGCAACAAAATCCAGAGGCAAAGGCACTGACTCTCGGCGATCTGCTTCGTTACGTTGGTGGGCCACCGAATGAAAAAGGCCTGTGTAAAGGTCCGGAAAGGAAATGGTTGCCACCTTGACCATCCATCTCAGAGCCTTCAACGTATTGAGGGGAAAGCAGGACATGGGAACTTCTTCTTCATCCTCAGGGGATCGGTAAAGCTGTATCATAACATCATAGGCCTGCACCTGGGAGATCCGAGATGCATCAAAACCCAGATCCTGAAGCAAAGCAAAGTACTGCAGGCAACTCTGCACATTCCTGACCAATGTGGTGTCTGCCACGGACGCCACGAGCTGAGCTAGTAAAGCTTCTGAGGATGCCGACTCCAAGATTTCCTGCAAAGCAGAGCTCAAAGGTGCAAGGAGCAAAACCAGCTGGCGCCACAAAAGCAGTCCCTTGGCGCGGAGCTTTACATGTACATCGTTCTGCAAAGTAACCCGTGCTGTCGATGTTGCGGGCCGGGCTGGCAAAGCAAATTTGCCAGGCAGTACTTTGGGTGGTTCCGGAGGAAATGCATATTCTGCTGAGGAAGCAAAAGCATCTGCCGCCTGAAGGAGGTTGTCCACCAAAGGGTCACTCAAAGCTGAACTGCCGGCCTCGTCCCAAGTGCCTGAAAAGCAGGAGACCGACGAAGGAGGCCTGGATTCTGAGGGGAAGACCGCGTAATCACGAGCAGAACGAAAAACAGGTCTGTCTCTTGCGTCCTGTGAAGACCGAAGTGTAAAAGCAGAGCGCTGAGAGAAAACCGGTCGAGCTTTGGGCACATCACCCCGAGACGGCGCCGTAGCCGCTGGAGAAGACCTGTCCACCAGTGGAAAGCATGGTCGAGGCCGAGGCTTCCACTTGGGTGCTGCAGGCACCGACGGCAAAGTAGAAGCACCTGGGTTCCAGGATGATGGTACTGGCAAATCAAACGCCGAGGTGGCCTCCACCATAGCAAAGGAACCATCACCTGAAGAAAGTGTCAAAGCAGGGCTGGAATCATCCTTGCCGTCTTCCCGCTCCATGGGAGCGTCTTGTAAAGAAGCCTCCTCAGGTTGTCGCCTGTAACGTTTCACACGAAAGCGACTATCATCGGAAGCATCTGCCATGTCTCAATCAAGGGAATCCAGAAAAGAATCACCGTCTGTACGCTCCGGTTGGCCTTCAAGAATTTGAAGGCGAGCACTCAAAATATCAAAGTCTGTATGCAAAGCAGGCAATCGTTGCTGTAAAGTATGATCTACTCTTTCGTGTACTCCGCCCAAAGCTTCAAGAGTGTCTTCGCGGAGCTCAAGTAAAGCCGCAAAGAAATCTTCACGGATCGCTGCACTCTCTTTGCTGGCTTGCTTCTTGGCACCTTCAAAAAGGCTCCAAAGACTACTGTCAAAGTAAGTGCGGTACTCTTCCAGCTTTGCCAAAGAAGTTTGGCGAGCCGAATGGAGAGCGGAAAGTTGCTCCTCCAATGCAGCGATCCTCCGAGTCCATCAAAGGACGCAAAGAAGCTATGTTGTACAAAAGTGCAAAACTGACGCGTGCTGAAGTAAATCATGTGCATGAAAAGTAAAAGCAATCTGCTGCATGTTCAAAATTTTAAAGCATGGAGCGAAGCTTTAAGCTATGCTGAAGCACGCGTGTCTTGGGCCGAAATGTTGTGTTTGGAACATGGTAAAGTAAAACACCCATGAGTAAACACATGAAACGCATCTGTATGTGGCTTGTAGAGCATGCAAGAGAAGCTGCAGCGTTTTAGCAGTCGTATACGGAAGCTGGGCGATGAAGGCCCAGAGACCAGCCCGATGATAGCAGCATACCTAGAGCGTAAGGGCAGAGGGCCTGAGGGCGCAATACGACTCGGGATTTTCGGGCTGGTGTGAAACGCACGGTGAAGCACTGCACTCTAGATACGGCTGCCCCGAAGCCGAAACTTTTGACTTTCTTGTTACGGGGATCTTGAAACGTTCTTGTAGCCAATGCCGGTGAGACCGAAAAGTGTGAAATGGGTGGGAGGGTGAGGATTTCGAAGAAAGATGCCTAGCCAGCACAACTGAGCCAAATGTTCGCACGAACATAAAGTAGTAAAACAGATGTGAACAAGTACACAAACCGTTCTACTACTTTAGTTGTGCTGGCTAGGCGTGTATCCCGAAGGGATTAAACTCGACTAAGCGGAAGCTTTTTCATGGAGTGCCGTATGCCCACAAGGTCCGGGCAGCAAGTCAAGCAAGCACTACGAGGTTGATGGGTGGTCCAACCGCACCAATCTAGAACTACCCAGCAACCTCGCTAAGTAAACACCCCGAATTTATGTGAGGTTGGTGGGCACTCCATGCGAGCGAATTTGCCACGGAAGCTGAACAGACGAAGGTGACACACTGATCATTGGCCGCGGTAGCCAAAGATCCTGAAGCGTAGCTGAAATGCGCTCATGCTGCAAACAATCTTGAGGTAATGGATGCTCTTGTGGTCTAGACAGAGCATCTGCTTTGTCATTTGCTTCACCCGGTATGTGCGATACATCAGGGGTGACTCGGTGCACTGCTGCAAGAAGTGAGATCCGCTCCAAGAAAAAACACAATGGCTGACTGGTTGCCAAGGAGTCGTTAACACCTGATTCAGCACCCGTGTTATCTGAAAGAGCTCTGAGAGTGATTGGGATGCAACTGCATGGAAGCAAGGCAGATGCCGCCAATATCAGCGCTGCCTGTGCGAGAGCTTCATAACACGAAATCTCCCTTGCCATATCAGCTTGAACCCTAATGCCCAAAGCTAAGAAATCAGCGTGAGCAAAGGTTTGTTGAAACCAGCGGTGACCTAAAGAGGGGTGGCGCACGTAGCCACCTATGCAGCAATGAGAGCCTTTGGCACTGGCATCTGCACGTGCATCAAATAGAGGAGTGGCAGACTGCCGCATCGAGCGGAATGGTGACATATGCAACAGCCAATGCTCGAAGATGCCCAGAATGCGCAGCGAGTTCAAGCACAATTTCCGCTTCTTGCTGTTCTGACTAGAAACCCGAAGCCAAAGCCTACGATCAGAAACCCGAACTTTCTCAAGATCCTGAAGAGAGTGCAAGTCTTGGTGACGTGCCGAAAGCAGTTTGGAGCCGAGCGGTATACCCGTACCTGGCGGCGTCGCTGTGAAATGCAGATCCGGCGACAAGTATCTTGCGATTTCATGCCAGCGCTCTGGCGGAATGCTGTAGTTCGTAGCAGCTGGGCTGTAGAGATCGTGATAGAAGGTATGCAGCATGCTCTTCATGACCGGAAAAAGGCTTGTAGCCCACAGTGCTAAGCCAATGAAGCGTTCCAAATCCTTTTTGGTCAAGCGAGGGTTTTTACGCAAATCTTGCACCATGCCCAGCAGTTTCAAGCGTTTTGATTCTTATGTCTGTCGGGTTTGAGCCGAAGTTTGAGCCGAAGTGGAACCCTGAAGCTAAACCGAAGTAACCACGTGAAGTGAAGCGCAGCAAAAGGTAAAGAGTGTCGAACTTCAAGAACTCGGACTTTTTGGGCAGTGTGTGAAGACTGGTCTGTCGCGAACTGGTGAAAGCCTCTGTTGCCCTTTCCTCCTGGGTGGAGTGGGCGGGTACACGAAAAAGCTACAGCTCCTTGAGAGTACTGCATCGGAATGAAGACGACATTCGCAAGCCATCAAGAGTCTTGCCAGGCTGATTCTCAAACTCATCTCGCAAAAGAAGAAAGTCTCAGAAAACTTCGTGAAAATTCTCATGTCAAGAAAAGCCCATCGCCGACAGCAGAGCATTCATAAAGTCCCACCCCGGCCCGCCCCCCGGCACAAACCCCATCAGACATACTCTAGGTCCGGGGACCGAATAGCATGTCTGTCGGGTTTGAGCCGAAGTTTGAGCCGAAGTGGAACCCTGAAGCTAAACCGAAGTAACCACGTGAAGTGAAGCGCAGCAAAAGGTAAAGAGTGTCGAACTTCAAGAACTCGGACTTTTTGGGCAGTGTGTGAAGACTGGTCTGTCGCGAACTGGTGAAAGCCTCTGTTGCCCTTTCCTCCCGACTTTAGAGCAACAGGAGGTGATCACCAGCTCGTCTTGTCCTCAGTTCGTTGCCGCTTGCTGACCTTCTCGCCCTGGACGTACTTTCCTGCAAGTGAAGCTCGAGATTCATCGAATGAGGCGCGAGCAGCCACCAACATATCAAGTAAAGAAAAATCCAGCTCGGCCAACTCGAAAGGTAACCGCTTGGATATCGTGAACTTTTCGAAATGAAAATTTGTAAGATCATCAGCCTCCACATTCTCCTCGCGGGGCCGCCACTGTAAGCGACAAATCTTACCACAAGAGTGAAGTCGAGAAACCATCTGCATGTGGACCGCCTGCACAGGCCACTTGTTGCTCAAACCCTTTTCTTGAATCGCAGGTGTGGAACGGTTGTCAGTTCCAGCAGATACAACAACCCTAATGTTGTCGCGAGCCTCGCTTGCTTCAAGATGTCCGAACACTTGCAAAGCAGCGTAAGATGCCAAGAGTTCCGCCGTAGTCGACGCCCACTGGCTTGAGCCGTCAGCCTTGAAAAGCCAGGGAGCCTGTTCAGGCAGAACTTCAAGCGCGAACCATGGAGCATCCTGAGAGCGAAGCCCATTCTGCAGAGACCAGCCCGCGATCACAACTCTTCCAGTTTCGCATTTCGCGTCAGTGCGGAAGGCTTGACGAGGATTGGGCCATGTTTGCAGGACACTCTCCAAGCGTGAACCCTTCCGCAGCTCGCTGCGAATAAAAGTGAGTGCAATGCAAACCATAGCTGGAGCCCTTGCCACCGTCCCTCTATTCAAGACTGACTGGAAAGCGAAGAGTGGTGCCAAGAACGGTCGCATCCACAACAGCAACCTTGCCACAAAGTTGAGACGACCTGTCAGCTCGCTTAAGCGCCTGCCGGCCACCATCCAGCCCCCAGCTTCGCAGTCATCAATCCAGCCGATGATCCAGCCTGCTCGACGCTCTGATATTCCTGCCGACCAGCCTTTGTAAGCGATATGGTAGCCAATGAAATCCACAGTGATGCCACCCTTGAACTTAGCGTACGAGAAAGGTGTTCCAAGTACCTCATATGCCAAGAGGGCCAACCAGAGGTTATGAAACTTCCTCTCGCCAGCCTGCACCAGATGAAGGTCGTCAACGTACACAAGCTGCATGAGCCAAGCAATCCCCATCAGGCGGATGACCCAACGTCCTGCGCATCCGAATAATCTCGCCCACCAATAGGCGGACGAGCTTATCCCGAATGTACAAACTGTATTGAGCCAGAGAACGCGTGATGAAGATGAACTTCTGCAGCCCAATCTTCCCCAGTCGCGACGTCGTACTTTAGCTCTCCGGTGTGCTTGACTTATGTCCGCGCTAAGTGCAAAGACAGCTTCCTGATTCTCAGCCGCCACAGCTGTGGCTTCAGTGATTTCATTTGGCCCCGGCACATGCAAAGCATCAAGAATACGGATACGATTGTTCAAGCCAATGCCGTGAGTCCCGTCGTGAAGAGGGCGAATATCGCCGTTCGGTTTCTTGATCGCTCCCATAGCTGCTATGAGAACTCCGTCCTCGCCGAACTCCCGCTTGGCCTCCGCTTCAGTTGTGCAAATCATCAAGCCTTTGGCCTCATCCTCTCGGAAATGTGCCTCAAGCTGTTCAGCCGAAAGTTCAGCCGATTCGTAGTTCTGCATGACCGCCTGAAAAGGTGTCTCGTCCAATTTGCGATATCGGACCCGAGGCTGGAACACCTGAGGAGTGCGAGGCAGTGGCTTGTCCCAGCCAATCGGCACTCCCTCAGCAAATGACTCATCGCCCTGAACAAGGATGGCATGATCAGGATCGCCCATCATTTCCAAAGACTGTGCCATCAAGTAAAGATAGAACGGTTGCCTCTCGGGGCAGCACATAGCCTGCTGAGGATCCGGCAACAGACCAGCGATCCTGCTCCTTGCTGCGTGCAAAGCAGATGAGGAGAAAGGAGATTCCTTCAACTGCCCGGCTGCGAGTTTGAAAGACATCAGCCTCACATCCTGAATCTCCTCGTGCACAACTTGGTTAAGGATATTACGGATACTCTCGCAGTGCTCCAACTCTGTAGCAGATGCCGTCCGGTTCCGAGCCTGAGGTTTCCACCGCCCGGGAGAGCACAAACCGAAACCATCATTGAATGCCGGTTTGGCTGGATCATGCCGGCATACCAGAGGTGGCCCAAAGCATCTGCTAGTCGCTGGATCAAAAGACTCAACCTCATCTTTCTGCACCGATGTTGTGGCCTTCTCCTCTCCTTCACCTTCGCTCGATATTTCGACAAGCTCATGCGCTGAACCGAAACCCAAGGCTCCTAGCGGCTCGCACGACACGGGGAGAGCGGGTGCCACCGAAAGAACCGGGGCCCCAGGAGTGGTCCCTTCCTGGGGGGTGCCTAGTCGAGCCGAAACCCCTGAAGACACTACCTCGGGAGAAGAAAAGGCTACCTTGTGTGGGGAAACTACCTTTCTCAAAGTCTTTACCTCACTCGAAGATACTACCTCACCAGGCACCGTTCGGGCTGTTGGTTTTGAAGCCTTCGGTTCCCCTGTGCTTGCAAGGCTAGAAACCGGCAGTGGGAAACCAAGGGATGTGAGGAAATCCTTATAATGTGCTGACAATGCATGCCATTGCGAAACTGAGTACGCAATGAGGACGAGGCGATCGCCTTGCCAATCGAGAGTCGCATGCAAGCGATCCCTGGCATCAAGGATCACGGGTCCAGATGCCACCTCAAGACATGTGCCCATGCGTGTGACACCTTCGCAAGTGAAAGGAACCGTGCCTTCAGGGTCCTCACACCAAATTCCGCCGCGCTTGAATGAACTAATCGGAACAATCAGATTGGTGCAAGTCGCATTTCTCGCATCCTTATGTAGCTGTGTGGCCACATTGTTGAAGAGAGCACAAGACGTAAAACGAAAGTCGGGTTTTACCTTGGCCAAGAAATGACATAGCACCTGTGAAGCAAGGGGAAACTTGCTGGCATTTGCGCGAAGTCCAGCGATACCTCCCAAGCTGCATGCACCAGTGAAGAAAGCCGTGCCTGAGCTCGCCTGAGAACCAGCATGGGGTGGCTCATGAGGAAGCAAGCTGAACAAGGTTTCAATGTCAGACGCCAAAATTTCGGGTTTTGCGAGGAGCTCACGAGCAAAAGCCTCAGCCGCATGCGGAAGCTCAGGCAGTGCCGCTGAGTCTGTGGCCAATGTTGCTTGTGCACTCGGCGCCAGAGCTCGAGCAAGGAACTCACAGAAAGCTGAAGGATAACTGAAGGCAGAGCGCCAGGCATTGCCGTCCCAACCGACAGTGTGAGAATGATCGTGAACCTGGCAAGGCTGAAGCGGACCAACGTAGTGCCCGCCTGAATCAAGCATTGGCCACGCGATTCCATGATGACTCCAAGCTGCCAGGCGCCCGGCGACTCGCGTGGAGAATTGTGATGCTGCGCCAAAATGGCACATGTGCAAAGCGAAGCTGAAACAACCGTGCGAAACAAGATTTCTCACCTCAGGCAGCTGCCAGATACTTGCAGGATGTGAGCCCGATGACCCAATGCCCAAATCCTCAGGATGAATGAGCAGCCAGGAGCCGCCTGCTTGTGCCTGCAACGAAGCCGCCTGAAGACACTGCTTGACATGAAAATTTGCAACAGAAACTAGTTCCCTATCGGCATTGCGCAACCAAGGAAAGCCCCACGGGTAGGAAGCATCCCGCACTGGTCTTGGACCATTGCGCCCAGCGTGCCTGTTGCGAGCACGCGAGAATGTCGATGCTGGCGGAGTAAGCAAAACAACGTCCCACGACCCAGACTTGATCTCCGAGAAAAGTCCATCCCAGAAACCAGGATCACTAAGGTCCGAAGCAGGTTCGCGGGTCGCATCAAATTCGGCCATCTGCAATTCGAAGCCCTGTTTGACTGCAATGCCCGATAGCCACGCGTGCAAATCCCCCTCATGACAAGGGCCGGAGAAAACATGAACGACCCGTAGAAGTCAGTTTGTTGATCCGCTGTCCTTCTTGTCATCCTTGATGCTCAGCTTGGCAAAGTGCTCCCAAAGTGGATGTGGTTGGTTGCAGCCTCGAACTCTGCAAACATGAACCCGCCCGCAGCCACCAGAGCAGCCTTGAGCGTTGAAAGCGAAGCAAATCTCACGACCGTCTGCCGTATGGCTCATAAGAGAATAAGCGGACCTGTCGCCCTTCTTTCCATTGCCTTTGTCCTTGCTGCCTTTCTTGCCCCCTTTGGAGTCCTTGCCCCAACCCTTCTGATTGGGGGACCCTTTGTTGCGGATCCACTTGCTTGCCTCCCATGGTGCATCTGCTACCCACTCACGTTTGCTCCCAGCGTAATTCTGCAAAGCAATCGGCGATGTAAAGAATTGCTCCTTGATCTGAGAATCCCGAACCACAGAGAGCAATGTTTCCACCAATGGTTGTGACCCTTGATAGGCCCTCTTGATGGCTTCCTTTCGCAACTCATGCTCGTAGGTCAGCAGCACCTGCCACGGCGGGCGCACTGGAGTTTGATCGCTTCCCTTCCCCGCTTGAGAAGGGACTGGTATCTTCATGAGGTAGACCTTTTCACCCAGGAGGTAGTTCACATATTCCGCCCAAGGAGCAGGCGACATGTCCTTGAAGAACGCCTTGTTGCGGAAGCGGCCCGCCATGAAGCAGTAAGTGTTGGCCTCGATGCGAAGCACTGTCCGAAGCTCTTCGGTGGTTTGGGGCATTGCCCCTCGCTGCTTCTGTTTCACAATTCGGACGGCCCCTCCTTTGTCAACAGTTGTCTGCAAACCTTGGGTACGAACTGCCTTCTTGCTTGTGACCTCATTCAAAGGCGAAGCTGTGGGCTCCACATTTTCGAACTCCTCCACCTTAGCGGCCAGATAGTCATCGGAAGGTTCAAAGGCCTCTTCAACTGTGCCATGGGTGTTCTCGTACGCCGCTTTCATGGCTAAGCGCTCATTCTGAAGCACCGGTCGCACTATACCCAAGAATTTTGTCTCCGCACGGAGCTCGGCTTCCTTGACGGCATAGTCTCGGCAAGCTTCCCATGCAGCCACAACAGCAGCCACAGCCGCCCTGTTATTCATGTCTGTGGCCTCTAAGCCGATGTCTGCACGCAATGCAGTACGAACCCCAGGCCGATCATCAGCATAAGCCGCGAACCTCCTCACATTCTTGAAAGCCTGCGTAATTCTGTACTGTACTGGCAAAGGGACACCCGCATCCTGCAAAATGTGCGCCAGGTCGGCACTCACCTGTGTCGAGATGTAAGTGAGCGCCGCGCCCTCATTAACACCTGCAGGAAAATCCATGATTGCGCATGCGGAACACTATCCCCCTCGGCACTCGCAACTCGCTTGAGAAACAAGAAGAACATTCACTCAGAGTCCCAGCGAAAATCAAACACATGCATGAGCAGCACTCGACAGGAGACGATGAAAGGGCAGCCTCTGTTCTTCGGCTCTCACCCCCTTTTGCAATCTCTGGTTCGCATCTTAACTCAGTCACCCTCTTGATCTGCGGGTGGCTCCACACTATCTGAACCGGAACTACTGGATGCTGGCCGATTCTGATCTGTCGGCCGGCACCTCTTGCACACTGCATCTGCCACTGAATCTGTAACTTCGAATATGGGAATTGTCTCCCTGCAGCGTTCCTGACGAACGGCACACGAATGGCTCGTATGGAGCCTTCTGAATCCTGACCTCGAAACTGTGACAAAATAGGGAGCTGCCACCGCCAGCTCGATCGTAGCTTCTGGAAGCTTCGCCCCAGGATCCCCTTTGGCCTGTTCCAGAATCCCAGGTGACATGCTGATCAAGGGGAAAGTTCCCCCCAGGGCCCACGAGCCCCTCTCATCATCCCACTCCAAGCATTTCAGTTGACGCTTAAGTTGCATCGGTGGGCCTCCTCGCTTGGCATAATAGTCCTGAATCTCATTCAAGCTCTCTTCTTCAACGATTCCCGGAGCAGGCAATCCCTCGAGGATGGCTCGACATGTCGTTGACTGTACATGATGCACAACTTGACGCGATGTAAGCACGTAGTCCTGACTGCCATGCTTAGCTGCAGACCATCTTCCCAGGTAATCTCGAGGCTCCTTGCCCACACCTGCCGCAGCCGCCAAACTAGGCAGTGTGTGCCTGCCCGAATGTCCTGTGAAGTAAGGCACAACAGCTTCAGGAAGCATCCGCGAATCACGGCTATATGTCCACTTGCCTGACTTCTTGACTGGCATAGGCAGCTCCTGCAATAACTTGCGTATGTTAAGAGCAACCTCCTCATTGTCGATGAACCCTTGGCTAGCAGTGTCCCTGTCCCCGCAGAAACGAACACACAGGAAGTCCCGTTCAAACTTGAGGGCCTCCGAATTCAGCAAGCGGTAGCCGTGACCGATCCAGTCGAATCCAGATAAGCTGATGCCCCGCATGACAAATGCCTGTAGCCTGCCGACATGCTTCCCGGCACCTGATGTCTTCGTCCTGTCCAAAGTCATTTTAAGCCCAAGCTGTGACAGTGTTATGCTCGCCGGGTTGATATTCTGAAGATCATCCACGCGCAAGGTGGCCCACACCTGGAGGAGGATAATGAAAGCATAAAATCTGCTCCACGTATCAGCTGAAGTGTTGCAAACCAAGAGTTCGCACGCCAGCAGCACAATCACCGGAAACATGGGTGCTTGCTTAACTGGTGCTGAGTCCTGTTCCAATTCAACCTTCCAGGAACGAACGCCCTCAATGAGCAACGTGTCCTCACTCAAGCGATCGGTGACATCAACCTGGCCAACCTGTTCCAGTAGGCCCAGTGAAGAAAGAATTCCCCCCGGGACAGTTTTGCCCAATGGTGAAATTTCATGCCTCTCTTCCAAATACTGTAGCACCACCTCTGCAGACTGAGGCCAGCACACCGAGTACGTAGCCTGTAGCCACTCTACCAGCTTGCGCCAGACCACTGCACGATTCTTTAAAGTCTTTGCTCGACGGGAACCAAAAGCACGAACCCAGGCTGCCTCAGGATTGCTCATAGCATCAATACGCGATGCCGCTGGAAGGCCTGCCTCTCGAATGACCTTGGCCAATTCCAAGATCCACCTCCTGCGACTGATCTCTTCCCTTGCCTGGCGACTAGTATCTGTTCCCAATCGCCTCTGCCGCAACGCTTGCTCCAAGATGCGCACTCCAACTTGTGGATTCTTAGAAACCAAGGATTCAAACTCGGCACCGACATCATTCCTCGGCACAGTCACCCGAGTAGCCAGCATCTTCACAGATCCAGCACGAAAGGTGACCTCACGCTTAACCTTCGGTTCAACTTCTGTGCTCCAACGAAGTAGCTTACTTGCAATCCTGCGCCTCTTCTCTGGAGGGTATTGTCCTTGCAATGCATCCTCCACCAGATCAGTGGTACTCCCTTCATCAAAGCATGCAAGTGCAAGATTGCAAGGGTCACTGAAGGCTTTCTGCAATCTGCTGCACAGAGTGTGATCAATTTCACTGACACACTCCCACTCAAGAGCCATCGAGTGGCCTTTCTGGAGCCGAGGCTCACACGACCATCGCGCCAACGGTCCCCCCAGCCCCTACTCTACACGAAAAACTACAGCTCCTTGAGAGTACTGCATCGGAATGAAGACGACATTCGCAAGCCATCAAGAGTCTTGCCAGGCTGATTCTCAAACTCATCTCGCAAAAGAAGAAAGTCTCAGAAAACTTCGTGAAAATTCTCATGTCAAGAAAAGCCCATCGCCGACAGCAGAGCATTCAGAAAGTCCCACCCCGGCCCGCCCCCCGGCACAAACCCCATCAGACATACTCTAGGTCCGGGGACCGAATAGCTAAGCAACACGATACCGGCAGAGTACTGAAAATCCCAGCCTATCCAAGTGACCCGAACGGATATCTGAAGTTTGTGCCAGGAAAGAGGCACACCCATGATCTGCATGAACATGCAAATCATGGCACTCGTTGCTGGAAGAATGGACATCGCCTGAGAAAAGAGATAATCATCTACAAACAAGTGGCCTGTGTGGGCTATGTAGATGAGAATATGAAGAATGCGAAGGATGCACGAGCCGAGTCGCCCCCACCAGTGCTGGGCAAACGTGGCTCCGAACGGGCATGTGCGATAGAAATAGAGGGCATTTGACCCGTCTGGTTCCTCACATGTGAACCCAAGCAATCCTTGTTCCGCATCCTTGACAACGCAGCCCTTATGAGCGCTTTTGATATCAATCGAGAGTGCACCCTGAATCTGCGAGCACTCACGCAGGGGATAGGAATGCAAGACGTCTCGAGCTGAAGGCATGTGCTGCTTCTCAGGCACGGTGCAATTTGCGTTTGTGCCACAAACCGAATTGTCAAGACAAAGCCTTTCTGATCTACCAGGAGACCTAACAACCGAAAGTTTGCCAAGCGCAACCCCTAGGGGCCAGCGTCGCTGGGCATCGGCCAACGATCCGTTGAATTTGAAGCAAAAACCTTGATCGAGTTCTTCCTGAAGCAGTCTGCGAGTAACAGAAGGTTCCACCGTAGCAGAGCGCCAATTCTGCAAATGAATCGAAAGTGGTATGTCATCTAAAGATTCACGAGTGTTAGGCCAAAAACTATGCGAAGGCGGGATGTCCGACTGGAAGCCTGTTGGAACGCCTGCCTTCAAGGCTGGGAACAATGTTGTATCAGCGTCAAAGCATACTTGAGCAACAGCTTCCAAGGCATTCAAACAGAGAGGCTGATGTTCCCTCTGTAACCAAGCATCGGCCGGAGCCGAGACGCCCAATGCCGAGAAGAACCCTTCCCTAACTGAAGCAACCTCTGAAGCTGAGAAAAGCGGTTCTTTGCTGGGCTCATAGCGACGCTGAAGCAGGCGGGAGGGACCGTTCATAGACGCAGTGGCCTTAAGCAAGAAAGAGCGCAGGTTACGCAACAGATCTGGCGTGCGGGGAGCGCTCCAGTCAGCATGCGAATGACGACCTGCCCCATCATGAACTGCATATGGTAGCTGATCCATGGGCTTACGTGGCACCAGTGTGAGGGCCTCTCGCAATTGCAATGCAGGGCCTGGTTTGTCCAGGAGAACTTGAATCTGAGCCGCAAAAATGGTTGCAAGCGCCTCTGGATACTGAGCTGTAAGCCTGCTTCTGAACACGCCGGAGCTGTCAAGACCGCGCATGACTTGATGTGAATCTCGCCCATGCTCGCAAACACAACCCATGTTTCGTAATGGCGCATAGCTGGAAGAAAACAACCAGGATTTTGCCCAAGGCAGGCCATAGCCGCACGCAGCCACCCAGACCAGAGAGGCTGAGCATTCGTGAATCCAAGACTGTAGGCAACTTTCTTCCCAGGACATCGCTCCTGGAGGTTGTTCAACATGACCGTGCCCACCTGCTGAATAGACTATGGACACACATTTGCAGCAGCGAGACAGGATTTCATGGCTTTCCTGAAGCTTAGCGAGATCCGAAGGACCCAAGCCGGGTACTCCATCCAAGTATTCCGGCGTGCGAAGCGGGAAAGGTGGCCCACCTGAAAGCTTCAAGCGCGAATAATGCGAGCAACTTGGAGCTGCCGCGCAGTATCCCACAGCGCCTGAACCGCAAATGAACAGAAGCTGCTCAAAGAAATCATCTTGGAGCAAGTCAAAAGCTGGGTCCAAAAGAGTATCAATGGAAAGCGTAGCGAGACCACACGCCTCCACAGCGCATGAAAGTGGTTTGTGCACACCCGAGCATAAGTCCAGGAAAAAGCGCTGGGGGATGTTCGCTAGAGCATCCAGTGCATTCGAAGAACTATTTGGGGGCGGGACAGGCAGAGGGGGCCTTAGGGAGTGGTGTCTAAACCCGAAAGCTGAAGGTTGACCCCAATTCACAGTAGACCCTCGCTGCAACATCGGTGGGCGCTCAGAAGGCACCTGGGGCGGGGATTCGAGGATAGGGAAATTGAGCGGGCCAAGCAGGGCATTGTCACAGTTTGCCATAGTGAAGGCGGTCAGGACCCATCGTTCCCCACAAAAGGGTTCTGTCATATGCCAAGAATGTGCCGGAAACTTGATGGGGTTTTCTTTCGTGCTAATGATTTTCCCTTTAAGCGAGGTGTTAAGCATTGGTATGAAGCGCGACTGGTCGCCTGATGCATCCTCAAGCCAAAGCGAACCTCCAGAAAAGGGACCCAAGCTAACCGAAAGATTGAAAGACCCCGGCACATTAGCTGTATCTCTGTGAGCAGAAGTGACAACATTCTTAGCCACGCACAGCGCATTCCAGGAATCAGCTGGGAACTGTAAGCGCAGAAAACTATTGAGAGCTTTGCACACAGACGGCAGAGCCCGAGACACACGAGTGAGTGCAGAACGATCGCTGACCTGGCAACCAAAGTTCCAGTAGCCTGATGATACAGAATTTGCCGAAACGACCGGGCGAGACTGCGAGCCTGGCGGTGGCCAAGAAGCTGACTGAAGTAGCGCTAGGCATGAAGCGTAATCATGAACATGTACTGCAGAAGCAGAGGCTACCGAGGTGGCCGAGGCTTGCAATGCACTGCTGTGTGTACTGTGAAGCGAAGCTGCACCCTGACGCCTGCCCGCAAGATGCGGAGCATTTGGAGCAACATGCTCCGATGCTATGCCCGACCCGGGCACCACGCCAGGAAAAGATTCCCTGCTAGAAGCACCTCCGAACTCCGGAGAAGAAGCGGTGACGCATGATGATGGAAGCAAAGCTGAGTGCTGTGTTGCCAAAATGGCTGGTGAAAGCTGGCCCCTGCACGGGGAAGCAAAAGCAGGCCGAGAACTCGCAGGGGTCGCAGGAGGTTGCAGCGGGCCCTGACCTGAAGACTGAAAGACACTAGAAGTACATGAATTCGACGCTGCCAAGTGTGATGAACAACGTTGCGAAAGAACTGAAGCGGCCGGTCCTAGGGAGCCAGCCGGCCCGGAGGCCGGTGAAACTAGCACGTTTTCGGATTGTCAGTGCGAAGTCGAAGCATGGTTTAGGGCATTGTGGGCCTTGCTCATGCAGGCGGAGCCATCGCCCTTCGGGTACGCACAGTTGTGCAAGAATGCACAGCTCGCACCCCTGCTGCATTTCCCGGATTGCCACTGCATGCACAATTGTTTGGTCTCGCCATTGACTTGAACATGCTTCACCCAGGCGCCTGCTCCCCCTTTGCCCGAGGGTTTGCCTTTGGAACCCTTATCCTTTCCGGAGCTTTTGCCTTTGCCGTCAAGGCTATAGCCCTTCCAATGCTCCGACATGAAGCGACCAAGCCCCTTGCCCTTGATGCCTTTCTCATTGAAGCGCGGGGGCGGAGGGGGCCTAGCCCTTGCCTGAAGCAAATTTGACATGTCACCCCTGATTTCGGTATACTCGAAGATTGCGTCGTTCAATTGCCAATCCTTCTCAAGAACCAAAGCATAAATCCCCTGCCACAATTTGCAGTCAGCCTGCTGGGCCTCTAGAATTGTAGGAGCTCGCAAGCCTGATGAAGCTTCGTGGCGCTGAGACAAAAGATGCATGAACTTGCTGCTATAGGCTTTGAGGCGAGCCAGGTGACAAGAGCCTACCATGGCCAGTGCAACGTCGTGGATTGCTAAGATCCTCTGCACGGCACTGACCCCCATGAAGCTATCGCCCACCTCCAGCGTGGGAGGCTCATCAAGAAGCAAACTGGAAATGCCGAGCGCTTCCAAACATGGTTGTTTGGCGGGCCTACTCAACTGAAGCTCGGCCGCTTTCTCTTCTGACATGCGATGCTTCCAGGGGATCCACTTGTAGTCTTTCTTACTTTCTTGATG